TCAAGAATGACTACGAAGAAGGCTGGATCAAGGAGTCGCATACAAAAGCCGAACTGGTACATCAAGTCGATAAATTCTTCGACCTGGTCGCAGGAAATTTCCAGCGCGCCGAGCACGCGCTTCGTCTTGCTCGCAAAGTGCTGCAGTAGCAAATTCGGCTGCTTGGCGCAGCAAACGGCCGCGAGCGACCCAACGAAGAGCTCGGTAAGCGAGTCCAGGCCTAGAGCCAACGTGTCGCATTCGCTGCGCTGTGCGTGAGTCTCGTTTCTGAACTGCTCAGCTTGCGAGTAGAGCGCGTTGTACAACAGTTTTTTACAGTGCGCTAATCGTTTTCCGTGAGTCGGCAACACTTCTTCGGCGAGCTCAGCCACACTGCTCCAAAGCTGGTGCTTGCTTTCAACACGCAGGCCGCTAGGCAGAGCGCTGTTTAGCTGGATGAAATAGTCGAAGAACAGTTCAAACAGAATGCAAATCTCATCCAAGTCAGCGAACCCCTGCATCAGCAGCGAACCGGCGCCGCAGAAAAGGGCGCAGCACACATAGAATTGCGCGAGCATCGGCTGCTGCGCGTGCGTCGTTTTGTCGGGTAGTTTGGCGCAAAGAAAGTTCACGACGCTCCTGAGCTTCGGCGCTACGATGAGACTGTCCTGCCTCAACAGCAGCAATAGTACGACGTGGGCGCACTCCAAATTGTCGAGCTCTATCGACTCGAGCAATTCGCCGATCATGGGCAACAGTTCTTGGTTCTCGTTCACAAGCACAGCCAGGTACATATAGACCAAGCTTCGGCAGCTCTGCAAAACATTCGGCGACCGCAAGTAGCAAGAGTAGACTACTCGATAATAATCATGAACTTCCACATCGCAGAAGTCAGCTGCTGCGTAGATCTGGCTCCAGCGAAACGCGAAATATGCTTCGTGCTTCAAAGAATAGTGCATGGCGACAGTGATCACAGCCATGGTAGCCCCAGAAAACCACGGAGCCGCGACCGCCTCGCCAAGATGCTTAGCGTAACCATAAAGCAAACGCGGCAGCAAACCGCGCTGTGACAATAATGCGCAGACCTCGCTACCGAATTTCGCGACGAGCTTATACGCTTTGTAGTTCTCGAGCGCCTTCAGCTGTGGAAGCAGCGATGTGACGCGGTGTGAGATGCAAAGCGGCAGCAACAGCTGCAGCAGCGACTCGCTTTGATCGAAGACGATAGAGCCCACGCGCTCCAGCTGTTTCTTGAATGCTTCGAAGTGCAGATCGCACAGAGTGTCGCAGACGAGCGGAAAGCACGGCAATTGCTGTTCAATGTCTTGCGGAGCAAGCTGCGCAAATTGGTGAAACAATTGCACATAGTTCAAAGCGCAGGCCCCAGTGAGTAGTTTACGGTACGCAGGCTTGGCTGAAGCAGCGTCACAAAGGTTTTGTTGCGGCGTAAGTCCCTCCGACACCAAGAAATCACAGACGTGCACAAGCAGAAAAGCTTTAAAGCTCGGCTCGTTGCTCGCGAGGCACAAACTAGCCACAACATCAGCAGCTTTTCGGTACAACACGACAAGGGCACCTGCGTCAGACGCGAGCCGTACGTTATAAAAGCGTATGAGGCTTTTGGCTACACGCTTCGCCAAGTCATTGTACAGCGGAGATTCCGCGCCAAACATGCCGAGAATCGTATTTGCGTGTAAGTTGATAACCGCAACTAAAGCAGAGTCGTCAACCGAATGAGCGTCAAAGGAACGGTCCAGCATGTCACGGACAAGACTCTGCTCCAGTGTAACTAGTTCAGAGGCCGCACTGGCGGCGTAAAACTCCCAAACTCGTCTTATGCTGAACTGATCAGAAAGCGCTGCGACGCAAAGCTCTTTAAGCTCCATCTTAAACGACGAATTGCGCTTCATGTAGTCTGCCCGGACAGCAGTATCCGGAGACTGTAACAGTCCGCAGTAAAAAGCGCGGACCGCGCCGTGATATTGTTTGTCGCAACGCTTGAGCAAGTGCGTCGGAAATTTCGTCAAGTCGCACGAAAGAGGCAACTTTAGCGAGAGTTCATAGGCAGTTATGGTAATCAAGAGTGCCGTCAAGCTTTGCACGATAACTTTCCGCGCTTTTACAGCGAGCTTAAGCACCACGGAAGCCACACGCGGCCAGAAAATGTGCAGCGTGGCCAAGTGCGAATCTAAAAACTCCGTATCGCAGCTGTTAGCCGCAGCTTGGAACAGCAGCAACAGATCCGGCTCGTCAAAAACGTCGACGCTCTGTGCATTGCCGCAGTATAGCACGCTGACCACTCTGAGCAGATGTTCAAGTTGCGAAGCGTCCACAGTAAAGCCGGTCTTCTCTTCAACTACAATATGTCTCAAAAACGCACTTATCTCGGTGGCTAACTTCCTCCAATCTGCGTCTACTTCGAGAGCGCACACTTTTGTGACAAGAGCGGAACTGAAACGCCCACACGGACACTGCTGAGCTGCGCATACTCTCAAATGTAATAAGAATTCCAGCAGAGATTGAAAACTGATTTCCAAGTGCGACTCAATGCAGTCGTAACGCTCGTAGGTCCACAAACTGTGCGGTGCACTCGAGAAGTAAGGGTCGAATCTAGAGTCGGTGATGGACATATCCGGAGAGTAAACGCCTTCAAAAGCCGCCTCGCCCAGCTGGTTTTCAAACGCAAAGCTGAACAGAGCCTTATGCAACGTGGCAGCATCCCGCGGCCAAGTCGCAGTCTTCAACAACGGTTTTGCTAGTTTGTTGTACCTCCCACTGAGAATTATGGCAACAACATCATACGCATCAACCACAGACTTGTCGTTTTCAGGACGTAGATGCAGCTTGATCGCCAGTTCATCTAGGCTGGACTCAGCAGCACTGGGCACAAGGTTGAGTTTATCGCGCAGTGCATAGCCAGCGCGCGTAAACGCAAATCTCTCTGCCAATAGCTTGGCACTAGCGAAATCCGACGTAACCGTTTTGCAATTCTGCAAAACGGTTTCGAGCACATCGTTTCTTTCCAAAGCTTCAAACAAGCTGACAGTCAACGAAACAGCTCGCGACTCTAGTGAGGCAGACACTTCGATAAGTTCTTTAGTTTCAGAACTAAACCTTACGCTCGATTTTCGGAAGCAAGCAACCGCTTTCTCGCGAGCGATGTGCACGCTGTTACTCAAAGTTCCATAGTCGGCTATGTACGCTTTCACTACGGCCGCTGCGAGACCGTCCCACCCGCTTTCGGTCGGTAATGCCTCCGTGCCTCTGAGACGTTCTACTATCAGGCCGTTTCCGAGTAAGCTCTTTTCAACTGAAGCAGGCAATGAGTCGTAGTTAGAAGCAAAGAGATTTAACAACTGATTGGTAATCTGCACGGACGCTTCCGAGCGCAAACAGAGAACCAAACTCCTCAAAGCAACCTCCCAATTTACCTGTTTCTGGTCTACGCAGCCGAGCAGTTCAGCAACCTTGCACGTATCCGAACCTTCGGCGCAAAGTATTGCCGGGATAGCAGCCGAGAGAGAAGCGCGGTTCAGATGGAAAACACTGCGCAAGAAGATTATGGGTTGCAAACGGTAAAGCCTTGTGCACGCCGGAATGATAGTGGAGCTGAAAAACGATGGATCTTTGAATGAGGTGGTTTCACAGAGCTCGTCCAGCCTGCTGAGCATCGTTGCGATAACGAAGCGATGAAACGCGCTATTAGTTGAAGTAGCGAGCAGCGCGAAAATCCATCCGAAATCGCTTCTGTGGTAATAGCCAGACTGGACTATCAAAGTCAGCAGGGCGGCAGCCAAAACCCTTCTGTCACCCGCAGATGTCGAGGAAAATTCGAGCATATATGACTGAAAGCTTTCCGATACAGAAATCTCTGCAAACAGCTCCAGATCTAAGCTATTTAACCCGTAGCGCTCGTCCTTTGTAGTGAGTTGCGTCTTCGATAGAATGGCCAAAAAGTCTAGCAGCGCCAAGCCGCGACGGCGCATTTGCATGTCCGTCACTAGTTTTCGCAGAACACCGCGTTCCAGCTGCGCGAGTTTTAAGTGTTCCGTAAAACACGAGTTAATGAGCTTTTCTGAGCTCTGAGAAACCGCCGAAAACGTCACGAGCGAGTCGAGGAATGCGATATTGTTGCGCTCACTTTTGACCAATCCGATGTGCTGCGCACTGTAGCAGCGTGCGAGAAGCGCGCTACAACAGCTGATAAATGACTCGTTGCGTGTGGCAGTCGAACAGTGCGCCAATAGTCGGCGAAGTAACGGAAGCATGAGTGCCTTGTTTGCAGCAACCATGTCGAGAAAGCCGGACAGCAATGGAGGAGCGCTCGTCCGCTTGATGACTTCGACCCACTTGAAAGCCAACGCATTTTGCGAGAACTCGACGACTCGGCACACACGCACAAACAAGTGATTGTCGACATGCGGAAGCGCGAGCACCAAAAGCTCAAACGCACACAATCGGCCGATGTTAAAGCGCGCAAGCAGCCATTCCAAAACAACCAAACCCTCGAATGACACCCACGCGTCTCCGAGAACCAGCAGAAAACTATCGACGGTGCTGACGATTCGCTCGTCGTCGCTAACGGGCATTTCCGTGAAAGTCTCGGTGTCTGCTGTAAGCTTGATGAACGCGTTCTTATGCTGAACCAGACTGCTGTTATATGCAATGAGGACGTCGAAAAGACGTAAGGCTTCGTGCTGCAAATCGACCCTGCTGAAACTAGCAGAAAACCTACAATGACAAATCGCGCTCCTCTCGTGCCACAGACACGAGTTTGCGTTCTAACATGGTCTCCAGCGGTGTGTTGTTAAATACGCTGCGTGACGCAAAAAACCATGAGCTGCCAAGCAAGTCAAAGCGCAGCCACAACCTCAGAAATAAGCAAAATTAAATACATCTTGTTTACAAATAGCACTCAGCGCCCATGAACACCGAACGAGAACAGACTTGGGCAAAGCTCTGCGCCATCGACTACCAGCGTAAGCTTTGAAACAGCGAACGCAGACTTCAACTCTGTCAAGCCAATTTTTTCGGTGGCCCGTGCCCACCCAGCGAAAAATCGATACGCCAACATTGCCCCTTTCGACACAAACAGAGTGGTTATCAACAAAGGCGATGGCTACATCAACGCTTCTTGGATGGATCCGCTGGCCAACGGGCATCGGTACATTGCAGGGCAATGCCCTCTTGAATCAACGCTCGGCGACTTTTTCGCCACTTTGGTGCAGCACAACGTCAAACTGGTCATTGCGCTTCGCGGTAGTCCGGACGAACATCTGAACCTCAACAAGTTTTTCCCGTACTGGATGGAAGCCAACAACAACCGCGTGTACGACGACTACAAGGTCAACGTCAGGCTATTGGAGACGAAGCCAGCGTGGACCAAATCTGAGTTGACCATCAGCCACAACGGTTCGACTCACACCTGCGTACACTTCCAATACAGCCAATGGGACGATTTCAATGTGCCTAGCATGAAGCTGATGCAAGAATTCATCGACGAACTGATGGCTGAACACTCCAATTTGTTCTACTCTAATGACGAAGGCAACATATTTATTCACTGTTCGGGCGGCATTGGCCGAACGGGAACTTTAATAACAGCGCTTTGCGCGTTCAAGCTGAAAGAGCACGCGAACGAGAAGCTATTGGTCGACGTGTTGACTAGACTCAAAAACCAGCGCGTAGGCTCCGTGGGCTACAGAGTGCAATTCGAGTTTCTTCACGCCTACCTTAAACAGTTGCTCGGCGCAAACGAAGCAGCATAGTTGCGTCAAGCGTTAAGGTCGACTTTCTGCGTGACTCTGGGCATCGAAGTTTTGTGCATAAATGGGGCAGGGGTTAACGGGTCTCGAACACGATCCGCAGACTGCTCGCTAACCACGCCGGGTCTTCTGCAACTGTCGGAGAGTTTAGAACTCCACTCGCCAAACTCAGAACTGTTTAATTGTAAAATCTTTGACGCACTCGGCAGCGGCAGCGTGTTTTTCGAGAAGTGTTTCTTTTTATCAAGTGTGCTCCCGGAAGAGAATTTATCCTGCAACCGGAGCTTGATCTTTTCATCCTTCCGCTCTAACATGTTTCTTCGCTCCCGAGTCAGAGTGGACTGACTTGCTGTGTTTGCAGCCTCTTCCCTCCTCCGCGAGCAGGCACTGCCGCCACTGCTAAGGTTCAGGCGGATGTCTCCACTGTGCTGATGTGGAAGGTTAAAGCTGCCGGGGTCGATGCAGTCAACGTCGTACCGGTACACTTCGTTGCAATAGCCGGTCGAAATACTTTTCTGTTTCAGCGATTTTGTCTTGCTGCTGTCGCACAGCCTTTCGCTAAGCAATTTATCACCATCGAGTTCCGTCGGGTCGTAGGCAGTAGGTCGACAAAAGTCAGGCGTTTTCGCGTCGTTCAGCTCGTTGAGCAAACAAGTGAGTTTGTCGCCCTCCGGTCCTTGCACAACGCTCTGCATTGACATGGAACGATTGGAAGCTAACGTGCCGCCTCTCGACGACTTGTTGCACAGCGCTTCGAAGTGCGGCTGCTCTTTCAGCGGAAGGAATTCGTCTTTCTTACCAGATGCGCTATCTTCATTCTGCAAGTTCAACTGATCAATAATTTCCGGATTTAGTTTACCGTGTAGCGTTCGCTGCGCAATGCTGTCATTTCGCAAAGCAGGTTGACTGATAGAAGCTGAGCGCTTTTCGTCTGAAGACGTACGGCGTTTCAACTGCGAACCCTTTTGTGCTGAACGCTCTTTGTCTAGAAGGTACCTATAGTGATCCAGCGGAGCTCCTCCGTTTTGGCTACCCTGCGCTCTTACAACGGACGATCTATTTGTTTCAGTGTAAGGCGCCTGTTGGTTAACTCTGTCGGATATACTGCAACGAGGAGAAGCGATGTAGCACTCGAATTCCTTAGACTGCGCAACTGAGTGTCTATCTGAAACGTTGCGCCTGTCTGCCGTATCGTACAGTCCGTTCCCGCTCGAAATCGCGCCAGTCGACCTTGTTGCTGCGGGATCCGCAGACGCGCATTCGGAGGTTTGCGATTTTGGGAAAACTGAAATTTCCTCAGACCCGTCGCAACGCTTCGTCTCCTCTCGGATGATTTTGCGAATTTCGTCAATCGTGAGACCCGCACCCGTGTTGATATTGATAAGCTTGACCGACTTGTCCTTAGTGCACGCACAGCTGGCTTCCCTATTCGAGCAAACGCGCGCGCAACAATAAGGGTGAGGCATCTCATTAGAACACGCGCACTGGTAACAGGAGCGGCTTAACCCTGCTTTGCCGCAGCCGCAGGCACCATTTCCGTAGTTGTTCTTGCCACACTTGTTAGCGTCACGGCATCCGCGTGGATGAACATTTTCGCAACAAGAGCGCACTGCTGACCGCATACTTCTGTGCTTGCACAATGCGCAGCACTGCTTGCAGTCGTTTTTCGCAGCATGTTGGCAGTGCGTATCGGTCTTTTCGCCGCGGCACTGGCAAGAGAATTCGCACTGATTCTGCCTTTCGTCTTGCTCAGCATTCGCGCTGCGCCCACTTTGCCAGTGCGAGCTCGAAGTTTGCGAATCGAGTTCGCAATGGACACGGTCCAGGAGCGCGTGGCAGCCCCGGCACGGCCGATAGGCGGCAGCATCAGGTCTGGAGCGCAAGTGCTTTCGGTCAACTGTGCGATCACCGTTGATGAGCCCGATTCGTTCTTCACGGGCGGAACGCTGCTCTTCTTTGCTTTGGCAGCAATCCCTGCCTATCGAGCTTGCACCGTCTTCAAGGTAAGCTGAATCCAAAGTGTCAGCGGAAGAATGGCAATTTCCGTATTCGGATGTACGTAATCTAAGATCACGTTCGCTCCGCTGTCCGGATTTCTTGCGAAGATCATTCATACTCAAACCTATTAAGTCACTGCTAATCGGGTGTATCGACTTACTAACTCATCGCATTGATAATTTTGCATGCAATTAGTTACTTTCTAGTGTAAGCATGACAAACAAAAATACTCCACTCCACAAACGCACTTCATCCTCAACTGAGCGCAATGCTTATTCGCATAAACTGAAACAGGTTTCATCACTCGCCATAGGCAGATTCGTGCACTATACATGGAGTGGAAAAAGCGAAATTGTGCACAGTCAATAAACAAGGCCACCAACTGTTTCTATTCATAGCACGATGAACCCTTCATTCTTCATCATTTTCAAGCCAGCTGAGGTACTCAGATAATAGATAAGATTGCTTGACGTTACGAGAATTAATAAAAGCACGCAAGTTCGACTCGTTGTCTAACACGTCGTCTAGAGCCACAAGATATAGCACCTGTGCGTGCTCGTCAGTGACGAGTGCGAAGAGCGCTTCATACAAGCTACTGATATCGGACGCGGAAGTCACGAGTTCAGCCAGAATGGCGCAAAAGTGATGCTTTCTCACAAAAGTTGCGATTACATCTTTACAAGGTGCAGTGTTGGAGACAAGAACTTTTATGAGGTAGTAAAGGAGTTTTTGGTGAGTGAATGAATAGTTAAAGCGCAAATGCTTCAGTTCGAACACAGCCATGTTGCACGCAGATTTAGAATCAGTATTCAGAGATTCTAGTATGGAGCAAAGTATTTCCTCTTCAGAATCTTGTTCCTCATCCGCAGAAGCTGCTGAATCACACCCTTTATCACCACCTTTGTCTTCGTATAATGCGTCAATCAAATTATCGATTCGCGCTAGCGCGCCGGGAAGGCGAAACACAGCTGAGTTCGGGTCAGTCGGCAGCAAGTTCTTTAAACCGGAGTATGAGGAAATGACCACTGTATCACGCCCAGTTATAATCACTTTAGCAGGCGTTTTCAATGAGTTCAAAACTAGTTTGGACAAAGTCGATTGAGAATTCAGGAAAATCAAATCCTTGCACTCTTCCGTGAACTGCGATAGATCAAAGCAAACGTTCTCGGCAAACCAACAGTTGATAGCGGTGCCAGGGCCTTTCAAAGTCACGTTTCTGCTTAGAAAAGTATTAGTCAGTGCAACGCTGTTTTCCAAAACACAATCCTTGTTTATGAAGCTATTCAAAATCCTATGAGGGCCGTCTAGAAAGCTGTTAATTGAGCAACTGAGCAGCTCCTGGCCATTTACGCTCAACGTCGAGCTTACGAGCGAACCGTTCAGGCTCACATACTTCTTCTTACTACCTGCAAAGTCTACGAAAGTCGCTGCCTGGCACGCTTTAGCGTGACTAGTCCAAGCAGCAACAGAGTCGAAGTAAAAACTGCATCCATCGTTAGAAGTCGATGGCAGCGGCAGAATATGCACGGTGTTAAGTATTGGATCACACTGCAGCTGGTTCTGAATCAGAGCTTCCAAGCTTTTCTCTGCTAGGCCGTATTTCAATATAGGGTACCCATTACGCAGCACGCAAAGAATCGTATGGTCAACGTCCGCAATTAGTTTGATGACGAGTTTAGATAGCTCCCTTAGCAGCCTATCCATGCTAAAAATCCGGCGTTTCTCAAAAGGTATGTCTTTTTTGCTGAGGTCCACGTCGAACATTTCAAGCAGTTCGCCGGTTTTGTTTATAACTACTAAAGCCTTAACGTGCTGCGAATGAATCGCTGCACCGAGTTCCTGTACAGCAAGCACGAACGCAGCGGAAGAGTGCTTACCGCAGAAATTTTGAAGCGTCTTGAAATTGCTCGGGATCGCGGCGAGGAAGCTCATGTAAAAAAAGCCGTTAGCAAAAATCTCAGCGTGCTTCAGCAAAATAGCTTCTAACAGCACGATTACCGAAGCGCATTCCCCAGGAACCAGGATAAACTCTAGCTGCAGCGAAGCGAATTTAAGGGAATAACGAGAAATTCTTCTCGATAGTTCAGTTTGCTCTGCAGAGTGGATGAAGAAAATAGCGCAACCGTCATCTCGCGAGTAGGCACCAATGAGTTTTTTCAGTTTAGTTTCTAGAAAAAAGCTCAGCGCCGTGTCGCACAGGCATGGATCAAAAGCGCCTGAAAATTGGTAGCTGCAGTCTACTACCAATGCAGGCAGCATTGCAGTGCTCACGTTCAGGACAGATTCCAAAAAAATTCAAAATACGAATTAATACCATAGAGACTATAATAGCTGCCGCAGCACACTTCCGGAAAACCAGGGTTTTGATTTTTCTGTGTAGAGAAAACTGCAATGTGGAAAAGCTACACACTTCTATAACACGGTTTTTTAACACAAAACAATGCGACTCATCAACGCAGTTCTATACGCCTTGACGGCCACAAAAGCACTCACGCTCGAAGATGGCAGCGAAACCATCGTGGCGAATGCAGTCGACGCACAGTTCGACCAGCCGAGCGTCACCTATGCTTCGGACGAAGGGTACATCGTTGTTCCTCACGTAGAAAAAGACTTCGACGTACCTGAAACTGTGACCGTGGAAACTAATGTGGAGAAGCCGATGACGGAGCGCCCGCTGCAAATTCCTATGGAACACAGTTTCACGTATCTGGTAGTGCCCGGAATCGGCGCGTTTCAGATCGGTAGCTTTGAACCGTCCACACAGTTAGTACTCGACATGGATAACATCAATCGCAATGCCAAACTTCCGGTGACGCCGCTTCTGGTTAAAACCGTGGCGCAAGGCATCAACCACATTATCCCCAGGCCTCTGAGTTCAGCGGTACAAATAACTAAGATTCCCGGTTCGCCGCCGAGCTATCTGAACCGACCGGAGCTCGGGTTGTTCAACCCCGCACAAGCTTACACCGAAGGCCCGTCCGGATTGTTCAAAGTTGAAGAAGTGT